GAAGAACCAGAGTTACAGGTAAGTAACTTCTTTTTCTCCTTCGTGGCCTCTGTGAATACACACTAATGGGTGACTGGCAAGCTAACTAACCAGGAGGAGGGATGTCACGAAAGTGCAGAAGCCAGGACAGCTCGACCTACCGCAGCCTCAGCCTTCGGCCGGACATCCAGGCAGTAGAGCAAGATGAGGATAGGCAGAGTGGCACATGTGGCAGAGTGGCAGGCATCCGCAACATCCACTCCACAGAGAAAGGCTGTTGATGCCACAGCTGTAGTAGAGTGAGCTCTCGCTGACTTTGGAAGAGGAGACTCTGCCAAATCATAGGGAAGGCAGATGGTCTTGACTAACCATCTAGAGATGGTTTGAAAGGAAGCTGGTGCTCCAAAGGAGGAGCCGGCAAAGGTGACAAAAAGACACTGTGAGACACATGTGAGGTCATGCTATGCACATAATGTGACAGAGCAAACTTAATGTCTCACAGCTGTGGTAGATGCCATCAACCCCAGGAGTCGCTGGACCTGTAGGACAGGGAAGCAAGCGCCTGAAGAAAAAAGGAGCATAAGAAATCAAGCAATTCCGGCGTTGCAATCTTTGGTCTGAACTCTGCTCCAGGATCCTATTCATTCTCAGCAGATCCCTCCTGCCCTCTCTCTCCACCAGTCTGCTGCAGCTCCCAGGACCTCAGTTGTTTTGAACACCTGAAATCTGAGCCACTTCCTGAAATAGAGAATAAAGTGGGAAATGTTCCAGGATGCAATTGGCTGATCTACCTGAGCCCTCTCCCAGCCTTCTGCCCCCCCGTGAGCCCCATCTCATCCCCCCCACCCATGGACCCCCAGACACCCTTACGTGATGGCTGCAGCTGCTGGGTTCCAGGGGCTCCAGTGGGGCTCCAGTGAGAGTGCCAGATGCAATGGCAGAGAAGGAACGGGGGACTCTCTCCCCCTCCCCCTCCCCCTCCACTCCTCACTTTTCTATGGTTCCCTTCACTTTTTCTCTCCCCCCTCCATTTCCCTCTGGCTCTTCCAATGCTCTTAGAGTAGCCTTGGCAGCCTCAGAAGGGTTGGGGAGGAAGCAGAAGAGAAAAGAGGGGAAGGGGACATGGAGAGGGGGAAGAGGAAGGGAGGGAAGGAAGCCATTGTCCTCCCTTTCTTTTCTGCCATCCAGTGATGAGTGCCTCCCCCCCCACACACATTTATCTTCAATTGGGCAGAATCAAAGCCCATGGCTTGGCTTTTTCCAAGCCAATTGGCCTCCAATTGGATTATGCAGGACTCCAGTGAAGGCACAAAGTGGTGAGAACCCCTCCCTCAACCCTTCCTTGATCCTCCAAATGTTCATCCTGAGAAAGATGGGCCACCCTTCCACTGGTGGGTGGAAGGGTGAGGCTTGGAATCTGTCAGGAAGGTGTGATGGGGTGAAGTGCTCTCAGGAGGAGTGGAGGGAGGAGGAACACTGGAGACTCAAGGGAGATGAAGCCACAGCCGCCATCTTTGCAAAGGGCAGCCCGTTTCCCTTTTCAAACACTGTGGCTGTGGAGGCCTGATGGAGACCTTGATGGCAGTGGTGATGATTACGGTAAGGGGGCGTGTTAGTGGGGGTGGAGAGCCTAAGATAG